CGCTACCGCTTGAGCCACATCCCCAGCCCCGACTATTGTTTCTTATTTATTTACATTTATTTAATACTTTGTAGAAATCAACTAATTTAATCCTTACAACAGACCTAACAAGGTAGGTGGTGTCATTCTGAAGAGGCAAAAGTAACTTGCCCAAATTTGTATGACAATAAGATTCAGACTGAGGACTTAAACCACTTACCCAAGTATGTCCTCTTTATCACTAGGCTACATCCCAGGGCCTTCTCTCAGTCGATTTATCCAAAATAATTGCCAATGGTCTTTATCCCCTTAATTGCCTTCTGGGTAGCAAAATCCTATAACCCTACCTATACTGGCTCTTTGTCCTGCTTTGTACAGTAAGGTTTCCTATTAGCCAGTTGCCAGAATGAGGCTTAAAGTGGTATTGAACATTCCCTGGTGCCCCACATCTGTTTTGCCTTTGATCTCCTCCTCTCATCCTGACCTCAAAGTCACTGTCCTTGCTGGCAGAATCCTTTTTTTTTTTCTTGCTTCCCATTAAACTAAACTGTTGACTTTGTCTGTTTTTTTGGGATCCAAGGAGATATAAGGTCCTTTTTGGTCTAGACTCCCAGGTTCACCTTTTTGGCTAAATTGCTGCCGTCATGGGCCTTTTAACATTGACTTGACAACTTCTATGATTCAACCTTTAGGAAACCCCTAAATAGCTGCTTAATTTACCTAAATATTTGGCCCCTTGAAGCTCCCTAGAACCACTTAGTCATGTCAGAACATTCTTTTTAGAAACCTAGTGTGTTCTTTTTATAAGTCCTCATGGTCATATCTATTCTGTCCTATTTACCTCTCCTTTTCCCAACAGTGAGTTTGGCTAGGTATCTCTTAGTATGTTAAAAATAATTTTTATGGTTTGGATATGAGGTATCCCCCAAAAAAAGCTCCTATGTTAAGGCAGGGGGTGAAATGATTAGATTATGAGTGCCATAATCTAATCAGTGGATTAATCCACTTGATGGATGAATAATTTGAAAGGACCACTATATGGTTGGTAACTGTAAGCAAGTAGAATGTGGCTGGAAGAAGTAGGTAACTGGGAATGTGCCCTTGGGGGTTATATATTTTTGTCCCTGTTTCCCTGTAACTGCTTGCATGTTCCCTGGATGCCATGAGCTCAGGAGTTTTCCTCTGCTTTGCCCTTTTTCCATGATGTTCTGCTTTACCTCAGACCCAGAGCAATGGAGTAGGCCAACTATGAACTGAACCCCTGAAACTATGATCCTAAAATAAACTTTCAATTGCTAAATCAGTCATAGCGATGCAAAGCTAACACAATCATCATACAACTTTATTTTGACTTTGAGATACCACAATCACTGTCCTAATGGTAGTGATTGAGAGCACAAACACTGGAGCTAGACTGCCTGGGTTCAATCCCAGGTGTACCACTTACTATATAGTGACTCTGAGTAAATCACTTAATCTCACTATGTCTCAGTTCCCCCACCTATTTAATGGAGATTATAATAGCATATACCTTACAAGGACTATTGTGAGAATTAGATGAGTATATGCAAAACATGTAGATCAGAACCAGGTTCTGATCTAAGTGTTCCTTAGTGCTATTATTTCTTGAAAACACAAATGGATTTAACTCCTAGAATTGACATTTGATCTTATCTGTCTTATAAGTCTCTCTAGAGTGCTTTGTCACACTCCCTTCCCAACCTTCACCCAGTCCCCCAAAAGTCACATCTACCACTTTAGTGGCCTTGTTGCCTTTTCAGTAAAAGCACAGCAGTTTTTAGCAATCTACTAAATACATCTATGATATAACTGATCAAATGCTACCAAGTAAAAGTTTGAAGAAGTGGGATTTGTGCTGCAGAAAGCAATAATTTGATTTGAGAAAGATAAGAGGGTAAAATAAAGGAGCTAAGTCCTCATTAGGGGAGCGGGCCTTACCTGTAGCATAGAGATTTGCATTTTATAATATCGGTTGGAGGGATCAGGAGCTGAGATGATCAGGAGTCGCTGTTTCTCATAGAACTGATCCAGGAGGCCAGCAGCTGAGTTGACATTGACATTAATCTTCATGGCTAGGGCAGATGTAGATGGCCAGTCAGAGACTGTCCTTTTCCTTCACCTGATTGGGTAATGCTAACATCTTGAGGAGTTCCAGTTTTTGAATTAATCTTTCTGGTTGTTTCTCCCTTCCCTGGAAAGAAATCCTGAAAGAAACTTGGAGATTTTAAACTCTTCTTGGGGTAGGCATATTCTAGGTGGAATGTTGCCCCTCATAATAGATGTGTCTCAGAAGCCCCTATTCCCACATCATTCACATCACTATTAGACCCCTAAGCTATGGGGGAATCCTCCAGGGTACCCTTGATTAATTCCCATTTCCTGATTTCACTCACGAGTACAGATAGGTGGTGATCCTGACCACTGACGACTGGACTGGCAGACCCGGGAGGGGGTTCCCTGGCGCTCATAACCACCATCACAGTGGTATTCACAGGTGGCACCATAGTTGTCGCCTGCTGAGGTGCAGGTGAGGTAGCCATGCTGCGGTGGTTTCAGAACTGGGCAGCGTCTCACTGTCAGGGAGAAATTCAAGTTAGGGATTATGGTGTTTCTAGAAGGTGCCTACTCTGGGCTTTCTAGAGCAAGAGACTTGAGATCATCAGGATGATTTTTCTATATTTCCAATGATTGGAGATAGAGCAAGAATTTTCCTTTCTTAAGGAATTAAATTTGAAATACAAACAGAGACTAGAAACACCGGTTAATATATACATTGTCTTAAAAAATCTATCAATCTGTGAAAGAAAATATTGTCATCTATGTTTGCAGATACTATGATGCCCTGTATGAATATGATCACCTTGCAGAATTACTTTTTATAGTAGAAATAAGTTGGAAGAGTGGTAAATGTCCATGATTGGGAGGATTAATCAAATCATTATATATTCTTAGAGCATAATGTTATGCTGTCATTGATAATATTTCTGAAGAAATTTTAAAGAATATGGGAGGGCTGGGGTTGTGGCTCAGCGGTAGAGTGCTTGCCTGGCATGTGTGAGACACTGGGTTTGATCCTCAGCACCACATAACAATGAATAAAAATAAAATAAAAGTATTGTGTCCATCTACAACTATTTTTTTAAAAAAGAAAAGAAATGGATACAGAGTATCTTCATGAATTTTATCTAGTTTTAGGAGAATAAGAAAAAAGAGTCAAAGTTTTTGTAGCATTTGTATGTACATGTAATGGAAGCTTCATTAATGAACCTGTTTTGGTGAAGTCTGTTTCAGGCATAGAGAGGAGAGGGTCATTGTGGGCTTATAGAAACTCAGGGTAGAGCAGGAACAATGAACAATGTAAAAACCGAAGAATTTTCTTCTGACCTTGTACTTTCACAATGAACTTGCAGCTGGCCCGGTTATAAGCTCGGTCATAGGCGGTGTAACGAATCACATACTCTCCTTCAGGAAAGTGAGAACCAGGCTCTGGGCCCCGAAGTGTTACCCTGATTGAGATAGGATGAAGGAGCTACTGAGGAAAAAGATACTTAGAATTGAGATCTGAAGAACATCATCACTGTGGTCTCAGCCTGTACAGTTTCAATATGAACAGACTGAGGGACTGGGAGATGCTGTTGGAAAGCATGTGTTACTGAAGCTCACCTGGTGATGGTACCATCAGCAGAATCTTTCACCACTGGTGGGTCCCAGTAGACTCTAGCAGTCAGTTTCTCTGGCTCTGCTATCTTCTCACGTGAGTGGGGACAATGGATCTTGGGAGGATCTATGTCTATGAAGGTCAAAAATCAAGTGTCAATTTGTGGGCCCCCTGTCTTCCCTGGAGGGGACCCATTGAAACAATACCACACACCACTGGGTAAGTAGGAAGTTCAAGGTTTTCAGAGAAACTGGGGAAAGAAGCCTGACTCTAGGGGGAAGTAATCATTTTGTGAGGCTTGTGCTCATGGGGCCCCCTTCATAGTGAGCAGGAATATCTTTGCAATTAGAATTCCATTTTGCTTGTGGACATAATGCTAGGATGACTCTTTGCAACAGGAAAAATAGGAGCAACTGGCATTTACCTACACATACAGGCTCGCCTCCACTCCATCGCCCATCTTCCATGCAGATTCGGCTGCGGTCACCTTCTAGGTGGTAGCCACTAGAACAACTATAGTCACAGCGGGAGTCAAGAAGCACTCCATTTGTGCAGCTGTAGGTGCCACTAGCGATGAATGGCAGTGCATGACATCTCATCTCTAAGAGAGAAGCAAGTGGCAAGCTCAGTGGCCTGTGGGACTAACTGGAGGTGATGCATCTAGCTCATGGAGAACCATATCAGAGACAATGAATATACAGAAACCTGACCCAAACTGCTTTACATTTTTATGCCACACTGCTTTCCCCCTGAACTGCCTTTTTAATTTTCATATTACAAGGTGTAGAAGCACTCTTGGTGTATGTGCAAGGGGGTGGGGGTGTCTCAAAGAAGTAAATTACTTGCCCAAGCACGTGAACTTGGCATGCCAGCTCTACCTCTTATTTGCTCTATGACTTGAAAAATTGCCTAATCTCTATTAGACTCAGTGGTTTTTTTTAATTGTAAAATGTGTATGCTTCACAACATTGTTGTACAAATTAACAGATACAATGCCTATAAACCTCTAGGTTCATTTAGAGCCTCAGCAGTTGTTAGTTTTCATCTCTTGATCCTCAGATGCTATAAGCTCTTGAGTATGCTCAAAGCTTCTTTTGAGTATCATTCCTATACTTGCACAGCCACTTCTCACTTACATGCCAGAGTGGGATGGCTTTATGTCCATGTGATAGTACAAGTCAGGCCAGTGCCTGGAGAGCCAGGTGTGGTGGTATTTGATTAAGGAGGAATCTGTGTGCTTTAGATACCATGTGGTGTATCAGAGACTGCCACTATGAAATAATTGTAAGCCTATGTTTGTGGAAGTCTTGTTTGTGATAACTGATACTTAAGAGAAGTAGGGCTATATATTTCTTTAGATTGTCTTAGTTCAAATCCTACATAAGTTGAATATTTGAAACTTTGAATGAAGATTCTATAAAAGCTACTTTCGTTTTGTTTCTTGGCCAAACCAGATTTCAAGTTTATTGCCTTTTTTTGTTTTCCAATATCTGATATGTAAAAACCTATGCAAAAATGATCTCCTTGAAATCAGAGCCAAGAGAAAAGTTTGTGTCTTCAGATGAATTTGTTTGCTTAGTATTATATGACAGTGAAAATAATAGATCCAAAGTGTTTGTCCTTTTGTTTCTTACAAGGAAGCTCAAAGCTAGATTTAGTGCTCAATGTAATAATCAACTCAATCTAGGAACCTGGAAATATGCATGTCTCCATTCTTTTAACTGGTTTTATGCTTGCTTATAATTTATAGCTTTGTTTATTTCAATTTGTCAGGCCAATTCAAATTTATTTTGGAAATAATGGGGTTTAAATCCTAAAACAACTTAATTACAGTCACCCAGAGGATAGTACTGACTTCTTTCTGGCTATCAGGCTTCTCCTCTACTCCACACCACCTTCTCTGACCAACCTCATTTCTCTGAATGCTCAGTCCTCTGTGTCCAGGTATACAGCATTCATGTGCACACATTTCTATCCCATTAGGCTATAAGTGGCCTGAGGGTAGGTGAGGAATTGAGTAAGCTCTTGCAGTGATCAATACAGGCCCCCTATACAATACAGGATGTCCTACAAATTGTATTCAGTGATGGACACATGAATATTCAAAGCTCATCTGCTAAAAGGAGGTAGACTATGGAGTTTGAATAATAGCTGGGGGTTTGGATGTTAAAGGGAGACATGGTTTGGAATGTGTGTCTATTAATATCCTCATATCCTAACCTTAGGGATTCTCCTTTCTGACTTTTGGGAGAAAATGAAGAATAGCAGACGTTTCATAGCTTCACTGGCAAGGCATTCTAAGGTTATAGGCCAGGAAGAACACAACTTGACCACAAATGGGAAAGAATCTGAAACTGTAAATCCTCCAGAACTACAAAAGAAGGCCCAGTTCCACATCACGCCTTGGGGTCAAGCCTTAGCCTCCTACATGCACTTCTGAGTTCCCTGAGTTGGAATGGCTGGCTGCTACTTAAATTCCCAAATCACTCAGACAGTAACTACAGGAATAGAAAATAAAGTAGAATGTTAGGATGAGGAAATGCCTCAATGGAGGGGGGGAGGCTCTGGAAAATTCTCAATTTAAACTTGAAAGAAAGGCATAATAACACCTTCAGGGAGATACCCTCAGTGACTGGCTGGCATCTCTCATGCTCATGTCAGCATGTGCACACATGCAACTTACGCCTGCAGTAGGCAGTTCCAGACCAACGGCGATTTGGCAGGCATTGCACTGATCTCCGTCCAATCAGTCGAAAGCCACGATCACAGGAGAGCTCGCAACGAGTACCTAGGCTACTGTGATAATTTCCTCCCCTTGGTGAGTAGCATGTGGCTTCTCCATCCTGGATATTTAATGTGTAACACCATCGGGGGACTGTAGCAACAGGAGAAAAGTAAGCTAGAATCATAATAATTAAGACAGTATGGTGTTGGTAAAAGGGCAGTAACATATCAATGGGACAGAACAGCGATCTCAGAAATAGATCTACACCAGTGTACCAAAATGATTTTTTGACAAAGTTACCAAAACAATACAATGGAGGAAAGGACCTTTCAGACAAATGGAGCTGGAACAATTGAAACTTCATAGGAAGACAGGAGAGAGAGAAAGAAAAGAAAAGAAAGAAAACGAGGGAAAGAAAAGAAAGGGGAAAAAAAGAAAAGACAATCTAATACAAGAAATTATACAAAAATTAATTCAAAATGGATGATGGACTTAAGTGTAAAAAAGAAAAATACAAAACTTGTAGGAAAAAAACATAGTAGAAAATCACTGGGAATGAGGAGTAGGCGAAAAAGTCTAAAATATAACACCAAAACTGCAATTCATAAAAAGTCAATAAGTTGGACATTGTTAAAATTAAAATATTTTGCTCTATGAAAGACACTATTAAGAGATCAAAGACAAGGCACAAATTGGTAGAAAATAGTTGCAAACTACATATCCAACAAAAGACTAATATCTCAAATATAAAAAGAACTATCAAAAGTCAACAGTAAAAAAACCAAACAATCCAGCTATAACATGGACAAAGGATGAACAGGTATATTACCAAAGTACTGATGGTAAATAAGCACATGAAAATGTGTTGAGCATTATTAGACATTAAAAATGCAAATTAAAACCACAATGAGATATCATTAATAGAAACATTAGAATGTCTAAATTTTTAAAAATGGCAGTAACAAAGAGAGACATTGGAACTCTCATACATGGCTGGTGGAAATGCAAAAACACAGCTGCCTTTGAAAATAATTTAGTAGTTTCTTATGAAGGTAATAATAAATCTTATTGCAAAGAAAATATGTTTACTAAATGATTTTGAAATACACTTTAAGGTATTTTCCCAAGTGAAATGAAAACCTGAGTTCACACCAAAATCCTATACAGAAAAGTTTTTTTTTTGATGTGCTATTTTTTTAAAGTTAAAATGAATCTCATTATCATGTACATCCACAAGACTGGGATCCTAATTAGAATAAGATATATTCCAACCTTGTATATTCTACTGTCATGTATAAAAAGAACAAATTAAAATTTTGAAAATAATATTTTAATATACACAAATGTTTAAAGTTATTCTATCATAATTGCCAAAAGCTGGAAATAGATGTCTTTCTATAGGTGAATGATTAAACTAACTTTAGTTTCTCCATATACAAGAATGAAGTGCTGATACATGCAACAACATAAATAAATCTCAAAAGCAGTTTGGGAAGTGAAGGAAGCCAGATTCCAAAGACTGCATTTTGTAGGATTCCATTATATGACAAAGCTATAGAGACACATTCAGGCAAAAATATAGGGACAGGGTGCAGATCAGTGGTTGTTGAAGATGAGGGGTTGAGGTCAGGGATAATCTCAAAGGAGTAGCACTGGGCAAGTTTTGGAGGCAATGTAAGTATTTTGTATTATCTTGGCTGTTATCCCACTCTATGCATTTGTCAAAACACACAGAACTATATTCCCCCCCAAATGAAGTCTACTATATGTGAATGTAAAACAAAAAAAAATAAAACACAAAAATATACATTAGAAACAGAAAAGGAATGTGACAGCAAAGAAGGTTGCTTAGAAATGAAAGTCCAATCTCAGTTCAGTACTCAGCAAAAGAGGTTACAGAGCATCATAAAGATGCCTCACAGACTGTACAAAATAAATAAATGACTCTTCAATGGGTTTGGATTTTAAAGAGACACATGTAAACAAATGGAGGGCCACCTGTCCAAGGAGGTTTATACAGCATGTACCACATCTGTTTGCCTAAGGTTGGGAAGATTAAAGCCCCATGTGAGCTGATTTGATTCCCAAATCCTAAGGACAAAAACAAACAAACAAACAAACAAAACCCAAACCACTCTGAGACTTAACAAAAAAGCACATCAGGAGCTATAGGATAAAAGAAAGGCTGGAGCTTCTGCTTGAGTGCAGCTGGAGAATGAAGACAGATGACAGAGAGAAAACTATTCTTCAACTAACGCCACGTTTGGGGCTCCCAGTATTAGTTTCAAGCCTGTGGCAGTGACAGGCTGCCATCTGGAGACACCATCTCCAAATTACAGAAAGTCTCTTAAGCACTATAGTTGCAGAGCTGTTGATTATAAGGCCACAACACATATTACAACGACCTTAAATGGGAGGTTGGGACCTCAGCAATCACTTCCATCCTAATTTTTCTCTTATTCCATCAAGGAAAATACACATCAGATTGAAACTGATTAAAAAAAAGCAAGCATGGTAAAGGGAAATAGAAAGCTTAGGATAAATACTGAGATAGTAAGAGAGGTCTAGCTATTGTAAATAAGTTCAAATTTGCTGGCCCAGAGGAATCCTGGCATAAAGAAAAAACATTGGAAGGCTGGTAAAGGGCAAAGCAACAACAATCCCCATTTTCAAATAAGAAAGAAGGTAGCCTCTTAGAACTATAGCCTGGTGACACTGAAAGCATAGTTTTCTAGAATATTTAAAGGTATGACTTATGATCTGTTAGAGAAGTAATGATCTCCAGGAGCACTCAAGAACAAGTAATTGCAGACTGACCTCATTTCCTTTTTGGGTAGGCCACCAGACTGGTAGAACAGGAGAAATGAAGTGAAGCATGTGTCAATACTTTTCATGCCAGTGATGTGGATGAGAGGAAGAAATATGGGAGGGGTGACAATACAGTTAGAGAGATTCATAACTGGCTGAACAACTGTACCCAAAGAATGCCAATGGGAAACTGAAACTAAGAACATGGTTAAATAATGCATGGTAGCTGGGTTTGGTGGCACATGACTATTACAACCAATAATAGCCATTTGGGAGGCTGAGGCAGAAGGATGGCAAGTTTGAGGCCAATCCAGCAATTTACTGAGGATCTAAGTGACTCAAAATAAAAAATAAAAATGTCTGGGGGAATGTGGCTCAGTAGTTAAGTGCCCCAGGATTCAATCCACAAAACAAAACAAAAAAATTAAATACTGTATGGTGAGAATGTCTGTTTGGAAATGTGTGTTAGTCTATATTGAGTACTTACTATAACTAGGTACCATACTACATAATTTTCCTTCATATACATCACCTCATATAGTTCCCCCAACAGCCCTCTGAGGTTAAGTAGGTATTTAGACTTATTTTATAGATGAGTAAGTAACTTTCCCAGGGTCCCTCAGCAAATAAGAAATAGGGCTGAGATTTAGACCAGAACATTTTCTTCTCTAAAACCCATGTTTTTTCTAAGTACTAAATTTGCTACTGCAGCAGCTAATTTGAAGGGTATATTGACCTTTTTGAAGAGGTAATGTATGCATATGGGTCAAACCCCCCAGAGTATAATATATTACCCAATAAAATGTCCCCACCCAATCCTACTTTCGTTCTAAGACCCCATTGTTAATAGTTTCTTTATGCATATAATGCAAATGTTGGTACAGCATCTTGTTTCCCCTCCTTTATAACACATGGAGCAGTATATCATGTCTATTGTTGCCACCATTGCTTTTTTTGGTATGTTGTTGTGGCTTGAACCATGCCAGGGCTTCACACATACCAGGAAAATGCTCTACCATTGAACTATACCTCCAGCTCCTACCATTACCTTTTAAAAAAAATAAAATGAATTTTGTAGCTTAGAAATATTTCCATATCACTACCTAGTAAGGATGTGATTTGTTTAAATGAAATAACATAAAATATTTAGTACACTGACTGGCACATAATAAGAGTTTGTCCAGGGCCAAAGAGCTATAAGGGTTCTCTCTTTTTAAAAAGGCTTGTAATGAAAAGAGCACTGACAACAGGTTTGAAAGGTCCTTCTCTGTAATTACCTTCAGATAACCCAGGCAGAGTGACTAGTTTGCTCAGGGCTGAAGCAAGCTGTGAGGAAAGCAGCAGCCCAGCAGACTGAGGGTGCACCTGACTCCAAGCTGTTTCATGATAAGGGAATAACAGGAAATGCAAGATTAGTAAAAATGGTACCAAACTACTTGGGCAGTTTGCTCTACAATAATCTTATGTTTTTTATTGCTTAGCAGTTGTTTTTATCTTTTTTCTTTTTAGATAATGAGTTACATTTTTAAAATATCTTTAAAAACATTTTTTTTTTAGTTGCAGATGGACAATATCTTATTTTTTTATCCTTATGTGGTGCTGAGGCTCGAACCCAGTGCCTCACACATGCCAGGTGAGTGCTCTACCATTGAGCTATAGCCCCAGCCCCAGTGAGTTACATTTTCAATGAAAGAGATGAAATAAGATGGCTCTGAAGTCAGACAGACCTGAGTTTAAATCCCTGTTTTGTGGGGCTGTGGCTGTGGCTCAGTGGCAGAGTGCTTGCCTGTCATGTGTGGAGCACTGGGTTCAATCCTCAGCACCACAAACAAAATTAAGCAAATAAAATAAAGTCATGGTGTCCATCAACAGCTACAAAATAATTTTTAAAAAATAAATAAATTCCTGTTTTGTCTCCTCTAAGCTCTGTGACCCTAAATTTAACTTCCATGAGCTTAGTTTCCTGATCTGTAAAACAAGGGATAATAAATCAATTCTATAGAGCTGTGGTAAGAATCAATTAACACTACACATGTAAAATATCTAGTCCTATGAATGATATTTCCTAAATCAGTGTCTGGGTTTGAGCCCCTGTCTCATCAGTATTCAAATAACAACACATTGTGATTTCCAGTGTCTTGGCATGTAGCTGTGACACATATGATTGTCATCTGGGACACCAAATTACAGAAAGTCCTTAATCACTACAGTTGCAGAGCTGTTGATTATGAAGTGACAAGGGTCTTACAAGGGAGGTTGGGACCTCAGGTTGTACTTTTCCTGGCTACTCCTTTCCACTCATCATTAATAACAATGTTTGATTCATTTTATGTCCTGAGAGTAAGTCCTAAAGAGAGCTATAAGACATTAGATCCCAAGGTCAAATGTTGCCATGTGACTTATATTTTTCTTTTTTTGGTACTGGGGATTGAATCCAGAGGCACTTTACAACTGAACCACATCCTCAGCCCTTTTTACTTTTTATTTTGAGACAGGGTCTTGTTAACTTGCTTAGAGCCTCACTAAGTTGCCAAGGCTGACCTTGATCATGCAATCAATCCTTCTGCCTCAGCCTCCTGAGTCAGTGGGATTACAGGTGTGCACCACCACACCTGACTGACTTATATTTTTCTAAAGGTCTTTTTGCTAATTTAAAAATGGCCCATGAGGCAGATAATATTAATTATAGGGCTGCCAGACCCCTCAAAAATACCTTCTATGTTTGTTGCTTTTTTACTATCCCATTTAGAGTCTACAATCTGGTTTCTGTTCCTAGGATACTGACGGTCAGCATCTACTTTTAACATAGCTCTGTAGGAGTGATATTCATGGCTCCTTCTGTTAAATGGATAGATATTTTCTTAAGAGTAATAAAAAGTAGATCAAAGAGTCAGTACATGATGAATTGTTTAGGTAATAAATACTGATTTCATAAGAGGTATATAGTAGTACCTCTCAATATTCAGTGAGAGAGAGTAAGGAAAAGCTCACCCTGAATGAAGCACAGATTTCAAGTGGGGAGAAGGGTGAGAAGATGTCAAGCTGGGAAGACAGATGGAGACCAGATTCTGATTAAAAATTGTCATAGTGGAGCTGGGTATGTTGGCACATGCCTGGAATCCCAGTGGCTCAGGAGGCTGAGGAAGGAGGATCACAGATTTGAAGCCAGCCTCAGCAACTTAGTGAGGTACTAAGCATCTTAGCAAGACCTTGTCTCAAAATAAAAAATAAAGAAGGGCTGGGGATGTGGCTCAGTTGTTAAGGGTTGAAAAATGGTCATAGTGGGACACTAGGTTTAGGGGAGAAAAACATGAGTCAGAGAATGCAGTTAGGGGCAACTAGCATTATTCATGTGTGAAGTAATAAAACTTTTATTCCCATGTATTAATAATGAAGTGATAGGTCTTGGTGAATGAGAAAAAGGAACTATTAAAGGTGATGGGGATGATTAGAAGTGATACTGAGGTATTCTAACTAAGAGAATGTCAGAAGTAGGAAGGTCAACTGGTAGAACCTTCTTCAGGCAAGATTGAAGAATTTTGTTTTAGATATCTCCAAATGGAAGTGTCTAGCAGCAGTTGGAGATATAGTCCAGGAGCTTGAGACCAGTCAAGGTTGCCCAAGATCCCAGCTTCATTCTCTGTATTTTTGCCACCAGAGAACCCATCTTCTTTCTTGGCTTCAGCTATGAACAGAGTAATAAAATGTCATGGATCCCAAGGAAGAGGGGTTTAAAAGAAAGGGGCTTGCTCAGTGCTGCTGGAGGGACTGAGGAGACTAAAGCTCAAAGCCATGTGATTTGATCATGGGAGAGAATTACAGTCTTCAAGAGATGTTTCAGTTTGGAGATTAGTGGGTGGGTGGAAAACAGACTACAGGAAGTTTAGAATTTAGTGGGCACTGAGACAGAGGCAGTGGGTGTGGACCATTGATAACAAGAAGAGACAAAGTAACTAAAAAGTGGCATAGAAAAACCCAAAACTCTGATCATTTTTCCTACTGAAATGGTTTTGTCAAAGGTCACCTCCTTTTTGTTAAATAAAATTTCTCCCTTCGATGTGATCTCTTTGTAATACCTGACAGTTGATTTCTTAACCTTTCCATTTTCCTAAAACTCTCTTCTTATGTGCCTTCTGTAATATGATAGACACTACCCTGATCTTCTTTCATATGGCTGACTGCTAACTCTCTCTGCCTTGCTGACTCCTTTTTTCCTACTCATATCTACAGATGTCTTCTAAGGCTTTGACCTTGGCCTCTGCTTCCTCAGAGCCCATTCATCTAAGTCAGGGACTCACAAAGCTTCATATTTCCACTTCCAACTGTTCATAGAGTATCTTTACCAAACCAGTTTTTTTTTTTTTTTTTTTTTTTTTTTGGTACTAGAGATTGAATCCAAGAGTGTATTACCACTGATCTATGTCCCTAGCCCTTTTTATTTTGAGACAGGGCTTTGCTAAATTGCTGAGTTTGTCCTCAGACTTACCTCAGCTTCTTGAGTTACTGGGATTACAGGTATGCACTCCTGCAGCCATCTCTAGCTTTTTTTTTTTTTTTTTAACTTTGTCTTTTAGAGGAGTCTTATAGTTCTCCTAGGTATTCAGACTGGATGCTTTCAGACATCAGTTTCTTTCTTTCTTGGTTCATCAAATCTATACCAAATCTTGGCCATTTTCTTTGAAATGTATCTGGGGTACATCTTTTTATTTTTAGTGCTGGAGATTGAACCCAGGGCTTTGCACATGCTAGGCAAGCACTCTACCACTGAGCTGCAACCCAGCCCATTCTACAGCATATCCTTATTCTCCATTTCAGTGCCACACTCTCAATCATCTCTAGCTAACATTACTATAACTGGTTCCTAGAGAGCCTCCCAGATGCGGGCTCTACTCTTCCCAATTCTTACTTTCTGAACAGAATAAGTAGGTTAGTGTTCTACGATTATCATTTACAATGTCGCTTCCCTCTGCAAAAACCTGTGATATGGTCCTTATATCTCTTAGCACAACAGCTAAACTTTTCTGCAATCACATGTTAAGCATAGAAACAGAGAATCAGAAATGGAAGGGATATTAGATATCACCTGGCCTAACCTTTCTTTTAATGCAGGAATCGTTATTTAGCATTTGTCACAGGTGGTCCGTTGCCTCTCCTTAGAATAGTGCCTATGTCATAAGGGCTTTCCTAATTTGATCTCACTCTTTATATTTAATTTTGTTCTCTATTACTCCCTTCACATTCCATCTCCTCCAGTCAGGCTATTTTTTTCTTAACTCCCTCCTGTAATGGGTCTGCTCTTACCTCCATATCTTTGGCCACCTCCTTTGCCAAGTGCCCTTCCCTCCCCTTTCCAGTTTTCAAAATCCTATTCATCATTGAAAGTCTAGCCTAAATGTCATCATTCATGAATTATTTCCCGGCTTCTTTGTCTCAACTCCCATTGCATTTACTGATACCAAAGTCTCATGCTTACTTGCTTGGCATGTGCTAATTTTATCCTCCCTTCACCCCCAACAGAATATCAGCTTTTTAAGGAGGATAAACCCCCTATCTTAGACTTTGCATCACACAATGGCTTACCTTGCATAGGATTAGGCATACATGGGGTACTCAGTCAATATTAAGGATTAATAATAGATGGACAACCTCAGGCTAGAAAGGTGAGGTCCCACAGCATGTCAGTAACCAAGTTCATGTTTAAAATCATAGCCTCAATAATTCATTGTGCTGCATTTTTGGCACATATGAGCCAAGCCTGGAGGAGGATGCTTCAGGGAAGAGCCTGGGCCTGAGGCCAGGGAGAGAGTGTTCCTGAGATTGAAAAGTGAAGATTACCTCTGTAGTCTAGGGCAGGAGCCCGTGGGACCTCTTCTGCATAGACTTCATTGTAGCTTTCATCTGGATAGTAGCCTGAGCCTATAAAAAAGAAGACAGTATCAAGATGGTGTGTGTATTTCTTCCTAAATTCTTCCCAGCTCCCCCACAACTTTGTTGTGGGTCAGGGAGCCAAATGACTTGCAAACTTGTATTAACTTACTGTGGGTGGCCCTCAGTATATAAGAGGATCACTGTAAAAGGCAAGCTCATGGTCAGGGAACACAGTAATAGCACTGAAAGACTCCTTTCAAAAGAAAAATAATTAAAATTCTTGACCATCCAGCAGTCCTGTCAATCTGGATTATAAGTGATCCATTTCCTTGATGCAACCTGAGATTCTTGGTGAGACACTGATGACCAAACTAAGAAGATGGACCCTTGTCTCAGGTAGGAGGAAAAAAGAAAGCCAAAGTGTCTTCCTTCTGCTAGTGACAGGCCTGCTCAAAGTCCTCAGAGGAAAATAGTTCAAGCTCCCATTAGCCTACAGGGCAGGGGTATTTTTGTCACCTGTCTGCTATTGCTGGGGGTGGCATGCCAAGGCAGAGATGGATGGCTCAAAAGGCAAGAAGGAATGAGAACAGTCTCATGAGAACTTTGTCCTGGTTTGGGAAAATACGGAGGCAGAATACTTTCTGTTTCTTTTACTTTTTTGTTTTGTTTTGTTTTGAAGTGCTGGGGATAGAGTCCAGGGCCTCATTCGTGCTAAGCAAGCCCTCTATCACTGAGTTATAACCCAGCCCAAGGCAAAGTCCTTTGGATAAATTTCCTGTTCCTGTAATCAGCAGGAGCTTTAGTAGGGAATGGCTGAACTAGAGGGCATTCTTAATCTACCTCCATCCAGTTAAGTGATTCATTCCCTGGTGGAGGCAGGTCTGCAGCTGTCTGGGAGACTAAACAGTATGTTCCACCAGACAGCAGGAAATCGGTCATGAATAGGAACTAATTGGAAAACAACTTGGTTCTTTCCGGAGTGAAGTTTCAGGAAACCCTTCTTCCAGCATGCCCTGAGCTCTAATGCACATAGGAATAGGATAACCAACCAGTGCTGAAGTCTGAGAGAATTCTCCATTTTTTAGGAGAAGGTGTGCTTTTAGAACAAGGCTGAGTTTTAGTGTCTGTGTAAACAGACCACAAGCTGGAGGCCTTCTCTCTGTGAAAATGAAGAGGGCCCCCTGCACTAAAGGGTGGAGCAGTGGGCTAGATGATGAAGTTCCTTTACTCTCCACAGGTCCAGATGGGGGTGGGGTGGGGAGTGTTGGGAAACCAGTCCAACTTGGTGAACAAGGGAATGAATCAAATTGAAAGTTTGCCTTATGAAATCATGTCCTTGTTGGTTTGCCTTCATTCCAAAGGAAAGAGTTCATTTTTTCTCTTTCCCTTTCGTGTTTTTTCTTTCTGTTTTCCCAATTAATTTCTTCTGGGTTCCCTTTATTTCTCCTTAGTCCTCATCTCCCCTGCTTTCTCTTTTCCCACATGGGAGGTTTCTTTGTGAGGCATGGAATTCTTGTCAGCTGTTTCAGTTTAGTACTAGCCTCAAAGCTTCACAGCTCCTGTAAACAGGAGACCAGAAGTGTGTGACTCCCTAAAGTATTAGGTCTCCCCGCTCTTGTTACAGAGCTAGCTTGGGAAGAAATGCTCAGCAGGGAGCAAACAGCTGTTTACCAGAAGAGAAAACAGGAGTGTCAGAGGTCTATGGCTGGATAACAATAACAGCAAGACAGCAATGACTGCCAACATCACTCAGCTCCTACTCTGGGTTAAGCATATGTTATGTCACTGTGATATCTCAATGGGGTAGATACTATTAACACTCTCCAATGTACAGAGCAAGAGGCTGGCTCAGAGTAATTAAGGAAGTTGCTAGTAAGTAGCAGAGTGGGCATTTCAGCTCAGGTCTATTTGACCCCTATTTTCTGAAGTCAGACATTCCACTAAAAATAATTGTAGAGGAGAGCTTTTGACAATGTGTAGCATGAATTAAAAAAAAAAAACCACAATCTTTTTTGGAATCCAGCTTTGTGTGTGTGTGTGTGTGTGTGTGTGTGTGTGTGTGTGTGTGTAGGGGGAGGAAGGCCACCAAGTGTTTTACATCAATCCAGAATTACAGGGGATGTGGAAAAACTGAGGAGAAGCTTCAATCAGATAATTACAGTCTCCACCAGCGTGCAGAGGTAGGTAGACCAGTGCCAAGTTTCCTTTGTACCAGGAATGGGCTCAGACCACTTAATACTTTATACCTCTGCATTTTCCCTCCTAGCCTGACTTTGAGTATTTTTATGCATATATTGGGATATTGAGGTGGAGTATAAGAATGAAACTAAAGTAGCAAACTCTCTACACTATTCTATTTGCATGTCCTTCATTGGCACTGGGGGATGGGCTTGGACAGCATTTCTCAATTCTTTAGATTAATGGGTGGTTGGTTACAGTGTGGTCTGTTACTGGGTTCCTTCAACTTCCATAGCACAGTTAGACCCTCTAAACATGGTCTTTCATAAAGGAATGGTTGGAAATGTAACTGATAGTTGAAGACTAAGATCTTCATTAATGCTTAGTTTATGATGACAAATACATTCTGACTTCCTGAATTGCACAGCTATGCCAATACACACTTTTAATCCTCTCTTGGCTTCATTTATATTTGCAAAATTTCCCACCCTTTGCTAATTATACCTGGATCCTTTTCCTGATTAACACAAAATTCTCACTTGGTTACTTTCCTTTGTTCCATTTCCACTAGAGCATAAAGCTGTACAATAGAAAAAAAAAAAAAACAGTACTGGATATATAGGGAGTGCTCCGTAAGTATTTGTTGGGTGAATGAACAAATGAATGGAGGAAAATCCAGTGGCTTAGCTAGCAAAGTAGGGGAGAACCATAGGACCCCAAATTATGTAGTCTCCTAAGAAGGATTTGCAGGGCTGTCAGACACCTCACCAGCCTGGGCTCCTCAGAAACAGCAGTGATTCACAGGAAAGTGGGGAGTGCCTCCTTTGCAAACAAGCCCTTTGAGACCCTCAAATGAATCTAAATTAAAAAACAAACAAACAACAAACAAAACATTTCCTCAGAACTCCAACAGTCCAAGGCTCTCTATTCTGGGAAAGGCAAAGGCCTTTGCATGCAATGAGGTTTCACACAGTTATTCAAATTTGGGTTTTGAGCCATCTATCTTTGTTCCCTTAGTCCTGTGATCTTTGCCTGGATTTTGGTCTTCCATGCTTGAACTGAAGTAAGTGGGAGGCTGGGGAGGACAGCTGCATATTTACCTCCTGGAGACTTGAGGCACCTTTAACCCCAAACAGTGTGTACTCTGCCAAGGGCTTCATTTGAATTTCTTCATCTCAATGTCAGCCCTTGTGTTTCACCCCCTACAAAGCCAGGTTAAGCCAAAAAGAGGAAGAAGTTTGCATATTTGTATGAAAGCTTGATGCAGCTGTTCCAGACAAACAAACCTACTGCCAAAGGCCTCCACCAGGAGCTAAGGGTATGTGGAAAATTTTAGCTGCAAAGACTGTGGCTGTGATGAGAGCAGTTTGTTATTTACTCATCTCTGGATATTTTCCTAACCCCAATGGTCGTGCCTGTCTCATTCCCCTATCCTCCACCCCCCAGTTCCTGTGAGGGCAGACACTACAGTCCACAGAATATTCTTAGCACTTGGAATGCCAGCTGGGCCCCATCAAAACCCTCTATATGTCAGTTCATTATCCTTCCCTCACCCCTACCCACCTCCCATTTTCTCTCTCCTCACTGAGTCCACTCTTGTAGCTCTCTGTCCCTGGGGACAGAGGGTGAAACATTGAGGAATCCAGAAATCTCCATCCCTTCTGAAGTAAGGAACAAGAAAAAGAAACTGGGAAATTCCTGATTAAGAGAATGTGATCTGTATTGCTATTAACAGCTTTACCAGAAAGGGGCTGTCACAATCTCATACATAAGGTCTGGGAGGTCGAAAGGGAGAGAAGAAGTATGATGGATTGCCTGTCTCCCCCATTTTTTTTTTCTAAAATGAGATAATTGGTCTAAGTTCGATTTTTGCAATATTTTTTTAAGGTGTTCTTATTTTTTTTAAAGATAGAGGAGAGAGAGAATTTTAATATTTATTTTTTTTTTTTTTAGTTTTGGGCGGACACAACATCTTGTTTGTATGTGGTGCTGAGGATCAAACCCTGGCCGCACGCATGCCAGGCGAGCGCGCTACCGCCTGAGCCACATCCCCAGCCCCCCCCTTTTTTTAAGGTATTTTTATTTTTTTGATTTTTGCAATATTGACAAGGGTATTTGAGTCATAATTTGAATAAAGATTTAACTCATAAAGAAATGATTAGGGAACAGTTTTTAGGAAGGTAAGTGCAAAAGCAGGTTAGACAATAGCTTAAAGGCCATACTGTCCAACCTCTTCAGCTTTATGCTCTCACAAACCCATTTTCAAACAGCTCTTGTTAGGGTGCCTCAAAGGCTATGCTTGGTAGCTAATTGGAATATTTGGCCATCTTTATTGCCCTTTAGTAGCTTTTCTTTATATCTAAAATAAAGATCTTTCATGATAGTCTAACTCTTCCCTTCTCCAGGTCTTGGTCTCAGTTCTGCCCTCCCTGGAAATAAAGGCCATCAGCTCTAGAACTTACCTGCATACCATGTTGGTGTCACTGCTGGAGTTAGGAAGAGCAGCAGAGAGATAGCTCCTCTTTGAATTAGTTGACCAACCATCCTTGAAAGGGAGGATTAGGGAAATAAAAAATAAGGGTATGTAGCCCAAAGTACCCAGATAAAGGAAAATGCTTTCAGAAGTCAGCCACCTATGAGCTTCCAAAAGTGAGAAGAAGCAGATGTATGGGATCTGTGAGGAAGAAGAAAGATTTTAAAATTAATAATGCCTGCCATACCATCCCCTACATAAAGATGTTCCACTTTATAGAATAACAAGACTATTATTATGGTCCCTTTTCCCCAGACATTAAATGATCTATCTTCAACTGATCCTGGTGGGATCAGATGAAGATGTTCCTTGGACCAAGTTATGGGGATGGACACTTAAGTTCAAGACCAGGAAAAGGCTAACATAAAGTCATATAGAACCAGAAGGGAATCTGGTGATCTAAAGAATGCCAGTTAATGGTTTCATTTATTCATCTAATATTTCTTAGCCATTGATGTGAGAAAGTATTAGCATATAGTCTAAGAGCTTGAATACTGAAGTTATACAGATCAGAATGTGAATCCAGTTTTGTCACCTATTAACTATGGGACCTTGGACAAATTCCTTAAATATTTGAGCCTCTATTTCCTCATCTATAAAATGGAAATAAGAATAGCATCTATCTTATAGAATATATTATTACCTGACATATAGGGAACTAATCAATATGTATTGAAATTATTTTTACCAACTTCACACTGGACAGGACTGGATGTTTACCTTCTCTAGTCTCCCAGGCAGTAACGATACCTTGGCTCTGTTCCTAGCTTTGGGTTTTGAGGCTTAGTGGTTTGGTAATGGCTTCTGACTTTCAAGTCCCGTCTAACCTTCTAGTTTTACCCTGCTGAGCCAACAGGAAGTCAGAGAGGTTAGGGTCCATGAGGAGAGGGTGAGCAGGTTCCAATTATCCTCTTACTTCCCAGTCTGCCTTCACTTTAATGGGATGGGAACTTTTTTGGTTCCAGTGGGCAAAAATTTCATAAATGACAGTATTAAAATTTGATGCCCATTGGTAAAAACTGGTCACTGGACATTTTTCAGCAAGGACCCACTCACCCACATGCTTTCAATGAAATGTCATGCTCAGAGGAGGAGTCAGTTCCAGAAACGCAAAAGCAAAATGATGGCAGACTCTGGCCAGCATCACTTTAGGACATTTTGTAGTTCCTTGCTACCTGGCTTCAGAGAGTGTCAATTAAGCTGAATAGAGAAAAAAAGTGAGAGTAAATAAGGGAGGTAAGGAAAATGGTAGAACGTAGAAAGGATGCTAGAAAGAAAAGAAAATCTGACAAAGCTAAAGAGGTGGATTGAAGAGGCAATAAAAGTAAAAAGGGATTAAAGAAAGAACCAGGGAAATGAACAGTTAGAAAATTATCACTGATCCTTTTCCCACATGTAGCCTCAATTCACTTCCTTTGTTCTGCAGCAGGGATTTTCCTTTTTTCAGACCTAATACTCAGTGTGACCCTTTACGTGCCCACCTCCTCCTCAATCTCAGACTGAAAATGTGACTCACCAGAGACAGCCATCCTTTATTGTGGGCTGAGAAGTTAGTGGGAACATTAGTCTGCAACCAGGTCAGGGTACAAATGAAAACAGCATGTGATCCAATTTCATAAAAGATCATCTTCTCCCCGTTCTAACCCCCAGTCATGTTGTCCAAGTCCTGGGTCTCCTTACCAGTCCATAGCTGTGAAATAAGGTAGAGTAGTATGAAGAGTTAATTGCAAATCTTACCTGTGTTATAGTTTTTTTGTGTTCTTTCTCTCTCCTCCTCTTTCTCTTTCCTTTCTGCTCCTCTCATCAGCCGAGGGGGGGAAAAAAAAACAACAAACTTCTACTTTAACATTCCTAGAACGAGTGGCTCCTGGTCTGTCTGGGCCTCCGGGATTCTGTTAACACTGCCCAGATGTTAGGACGTTAACATTTGCCAAAAGTTGCCTTAAAGCTATATTATCCCCAAAGCTATAGCTGTTCCTCCCTTAAAGAAGAGTTTTAGAGAGATGGGGAAGAAAAGACAGAAGGATTAAAAGAACTCCGTCTGTCTGCTGCAGAACAGGGGGAAGTGTGAATGGCACTGGCCCTAAGCCTGTGAGTATAGTGATGACTAACAGAGGCTGGTTAAAGGGCTTCCAGAGATGTGTTCTGCTGAAGAACACACTACTTTTTATTACTCAGCATTACATCAGGATTGAATGAAAAGGAATTTCACAAACTCCAAGGAAAAGAGAAGAGTGTTAGCTGGCTTTGACATTCCCTGGAGATTTCTTCTATAATTTCTTAGTACTCTCAAACTCCAAGTTGCCTTACCATCTATATGGTACAGGGTCAGGCACACTTTGAAATCCTTGTGCCAATGACCTCATTTCTCAGGACTTCAGTTTCTGATAAAATTATCTTTACAAAAAAAAAAAAAATTCCATGCACTTGTGTGTGGTGTTAGGAATTGAACCCAGGGCCTCCCACATGACAGTCAAGCATTCTACAACTGAGCTACCTCACTAACTTTACCATGCCTTTCTTGCCAGAAGAATCAAGACTGATTTTTCATATTAAGAATGGAGGAAAAGCATGCCTAGAGAAGCTTTTGTGGAATGATTTTAAGCAAATCTAAATGATACGTGCAAGGCAAATTTGTAGCCATTGCTAAATAGTTACCAGTCATCTCTGATGGAGAGCTGTTTCTCTTAACTAAACAAGCTTTCTTCATCTTGATATTCAGTAATGAGATTATTCTTGAGTAGTACAGACTGGATCTTTACTTTCTTTCTTTCCTCAAAGTTGATATTTATATCTCTTGAAAAATTAGTGGTTGTAGATGAAAAAATGTTTAACCATTGTTGAAAGGGTTTTTCTTCTATGTGTATAAACAAATTGGTAACTCCTTCTCAGTCATCAAGGGAAGAACTATACTTAAAATAATACAAAGTTTAGTTACCAGCCTGAAACTTTTTCATATCCAATTAATCACAAATACATATTGAATATGTGCCATGTGTTCAAAACTGTGACAGCAATAGAGTAACAGAAGACATGATCTTGACCTAATTCATTCAATAAATTTATCAAGCATCTACTGTGTCACACAGAGATGGGGAATATAGTGGGGAACAAGACAAAATCCCTGACATCCTAATTAATTCAACAAATGTTTGTTGAGCATTTGTTATGTGCCTCACATTGTTTAGGTGCTTGAGAGACATCAATGAACAAAATGTATAAAAATCCCTGCCTTTATGGAGTGGAGGAGACAGACATCAAGCAAAAATGTTCTTAATTACAATTGTGTGTGTTCAGGAATCTTTATTGGTCATCTACTAGAAGGCAAGCATATGGGATACAGTGGTGAGAAAGGCATGTGTGATCCTTCATCTTATTTGAGCTTACTTTCAAGCTTCCCGATAATTTATGTTTAGTAGGGGTGAGAAGGGGGACACTGATAATTAGAAAACTATGGAACAGTATACAGTAACAAAATGCTAGAAGCTATAGTGTAGACTCAGGACTCTAGAAGGAGAGAGGAGGGAGGTGTCTGGGGAGTGGTGAACTTTGGTTTATTCTCAGGCAAAGAAATTGACATAGATAGGAGCTCCATTGTTAGATCAGAGTGGGAGGGGCCTTTGGGTAAGATGGTTCAAGGGAGTGAGAGGAAACAAAATTGAATAAATAGGATTGGGATAGAAGATTCAATTTAGAAGTTGATTCTGAATTCATATGTTAGGAAAAAGTAAATATAAGAAATGAGTGTGTGTGTGTGTGTGTGTGTGAGAGAGAGAGAGAGAGAGAGAGAAGAATATGAGAGACAGATCAGGCAAAGCAATAAATTCTATCAGGGTTGTTTTCTTTCTAAAATAAACTTTCACTGGCTCCCTCTTGGCATAGAATACAGTCTGACCTTCTTAGCCTGGCATACCATATCCATCACAAACAAACCCTATCTGTGTCCTCAACCTAGATTTAAACATTCATCTTGTGATTCCTCATTCTAGATACACTGATCTTCTTGCTCTTCCTTTCATGCTTTTGTGCCTTTGTACATATTTACTCTGTATTACCTTCCCTTCTTTCTTGGCCTGTTGAAATTGTATGCATCCTTTCTGCTGAGAAGGCTCCTCCAGCTCATTTGGGTCAGAGGTAGTTCACTTTGCCTGCCTTATCTCCAACAGCACACTGTGTGCATTTCAATTATAGAACTTGTTGCGCTTATGGACATTTTTTAAAAATTTATCTTTGACCCCTAGTAAGCTGTGAGGTCCTAGAGGGCAAGGGCTTTGTTTTAGCCTTATTCTTATTCTAAACACCCAACATAAAGATGCAAAGGGCCTCAATCCCACTTAAAGCTAGAGGGAGTGAAACAAAGAAAGGTCAAAGAAGAAAGTGAAGTGGGGAGAATATGGAAATCATAGAGAGATAAATAGGATAAGTGATATGAGAAGGACAGCATTCCTGTGAAGCACTGGGGAAAGTAATATGGAGAGGTTATCCAAAACAAGTGGGGTTACTTTAAAATTTATTTTTACAGCAACTGCTATGTGTGTAGAACAAAGATACTGTGAGGAAGTTAAAAAAAAATCCCACCTATCTGTAGGGTTTGGATGGGAAGATAAGACAAAGACATAGACAAAATACATATTAAACTTATTAAATTTCTTAATGCTTGGTACCATTTTCAACTTTGACTCTTAATCTTAAAAGCAGTCAATAAAGTATTGTTTTTTAAAAAATTACTAGATACAGAAACTGACTTACTTAGGTGAGATCTCAGCAAAGTTCAATGAGGCTTGACTGGAAACAACTTTGTCAGAAAACAGGTATTGATTGTAAAGTTTGATACCATTCAAAAAGGAGTTTTCATTTCTTTATGTCCCAAACTATATTATTATGATTTTTGAAGAAGATGATATCAGGGATTGAAAGGTTTCATGGAGAATCTGAAAAGAGTAGATGAAAAAATGATCAAAATCTGGACACAGCAAGAGAATTTCAGGGAAGGATAACAGGAACATACAAGAGACAATAGGAAATAAAGTATATATTACTACTCAGGAAATTAATTTTTAATTGAGGATATGAATTAACTGATGAAAAGATAAGGTATCACATGATCATAACATAAAATATGGCATTTTCAGAAAATAAGGAAGAAGTACTTTGAAATTTCATAATAGGCACTTAGCTAAAGAGTAATGGGAGAGATGCTGGAAAAGGGACTAGAAAATTAAAGTTTATTATGTGTGTTTATGAAATGTTATTATGTGAATAAGTGATAAAATGTATTCTGAGTGAAATGGCAGATGCCTTTTTACTGGTTCCTGACACACAGAGTAGGAATGTCTCAAGACCTTATCTAGCAGCTCAACTTAATTTTCCAGTTTTATGATAGTGTGATATTGGGGTGTCTTAAACACTTAGTTTTTAATTTGATTTAAATAATCAGTCCTTGAGTAACTACTGTGCAGGTACCTCTAGAGACCAGCCAAGACCTTAATGAGCAATGAACTCAACAGGGATTGGCTGAGCACCCAATGAGCTCATCAATTGAGCATTATGTCCTAGGGTGTTCAGGAGGGTATAAAAGAAAGTGCAGGAGCCCTGCCACACTGGCTCTTCTGTAGTTTCTGAACATCTAGACAGCAGGATGTAAAGTAGGTAAGTAGAAATGTAAAGCAGGTACTATAGGATTGATTAAAGGTCTGAATTAGAGTGAGTGTTGGTCAGACTGAGTGCTGATGTTAGAGAAAGAGGTGGGGTGTGGGAAGGGAATATTCTCATTTAGTTGGGGTGAAGATGGACATTGAGTAGAGGGAGAAATTGGATTTGGGTGGGCAGGGAGTAGGGAACAAGCCTTGCTTATTGAGGGGATAATCATATTGGCTTGGTATGGAACAGAAAATTCATACTGGAAAAGTGGTGGGGAATAGGTTAAGAGTGTGTTGTGGGGGGGGTTTAGAAGGGGTGGAAGGTCGGAGTGGCACAGGAGAGGTCTGAATTTAAAAGCAAAATAGTGTTTGTCATTTCCCTTGCCTGATGTCTGCCAAAGAAAGCCATTTAAACCTAATCATGAAGGTTACAGGAAGTTAATGGGGAAGGGACACAAACCTCTAGTAAATGTTGAATTGTGTTATGCCAGTGAAGGCAAGAGTAAACCTCAACAAAAAATCCCCAAGAGCAAGTCAGAATTGGGGTAATCAAGTTACTTATGCTTCAGGGGCTCCAAAGAGCCCTTGTTTGTGGCTAAATGTCTGAGCAACAGCAGTCTTTGTTCCCGTTATTCTGAGCCAAGATAGCTGTACGACGGCTGCCATGTCTCATCAGAGAGTAGGCCCTGTTTCTGATGAAGGAAACAGACACAGGCTGGGCTTAGACCTAGGGAAGCTACTTAAGTCTCTTTAAACCTGTATCTTCATTTGTAAAATGAGGGCAGTAGCAATGCTGATCTCATAATAGAGCTTTTGTGATGTGTTCACACGGTAACCAGTATCAAGTGCTTAGCAACCGTGGTTGGTACATAGTTAGTGCTCACTATTATTACAGTTATTAATATTTTAAGAAAAAATTATCTTATGGAATAGAGAAACACTTCTTAAATTGCCTTAGATGGAATTAAGTATCCTTTTGGTTTGGGTTTGGACCTGGACATTGGCTTAGGTTTGAACTGAACTTCTGAGTTTGGTGGCATGGAAGAGGTGGGAGGTGAGGGGGACTGGGTGTAGCGGGGTGGGAGGCATTAGTGCAAGGTGTTGTGGCCATAGGAATATTAATTTCCATGTCAGTCTCTGGTTTAATTTGGCAAGGATGTTGTTCAAACAAAGCAGCGTTGTGAGTGGCAGAGGAAGGGTGAGGAGAAAAGTCAACACATTCTTGGAAATAAGATGTGGCTTTTGCTTTTAGCAATTTTGTTTTTCTGTCAGCCACAGAAATATTTCTTTGCTCTCAGGCGCAAAGTGAAAACCCTTTCCAGGACATGGTACAAACCTAAGCTTCAAAAGAAACTTTCTGTTTAAGATGCAGTTAGCAAGACTTCTTTGGATACTTGTTTTTAGTACAAGG